ATTTGGTACCGAACGACAAGACGTTTTTCGATACTCGATGGTATCGAGGCAATTCGGTCGGTGCCTAAAAAGTATCGAACTCGATACCCAGCCCTAGGCTTGAGTTGTGTTGAAGCAGCATGTTATCTACAAATGTTCACAGACCAATCAGCTGTAAGATTGCAAATATAATTTAGAATTTGTTTCTTTAAATTGCCACTTAGAAATCCATTCATTTAAAAACTACATTTGCATGGGCTTTTTAAGAACAGTGAAAAAAACTTTACACGTCGGTACTCTAGTAAAATTCTAGTAAAATTATTTAAAGGGGTCATATGATGCTGCTAAAAAGAACATTATTTTGTGTATTTGGTGTAATGATCACGGTTAGTATCATCCCGTACTGCGTGTCCGGAGCCCTCAGTTTACAAAGCAAAAAACAGCTTTGAGCTGAGAAAGAACTGCAAAAGACTGTGAGCAACTACACAATTACTTAGTGTTTCAAACTAGCATGTTCATCCCATCAGTCGAAGGAACACTGCCAATGAACAACTTGCCTGTTTAAATGTGTTTTCTAACTAAGGGATGCAGACACTTAGAGTTTAAATTAAGCACTGTTATATTACACGTTACAATGGTGCGTTGTGCCTTTGGATCTACATGAAAAGGTCTGGCATTTGACAAAATAAGTGTTAAGTTCTTTTTTGAGAACTGAAATGATAAGTATATGTATATAGGAGGACAATGTTTGTCCTCCCTAAGAGGTGTACTTTTTTTTGATGGATTTTCTGTAATATTTTATTTTTGGAAATTATTTAGGTCATTTTTAATAAAACACTGAAAATATATCTTGTCTAGTATTGTTGTTTTTATTTGCATTTTTAATGGTCCCTTTAACACATTCTGTTGACTAGAAGTAATGTTGCACCTACATGTCTACTAACTCTCATTAGAGTGTTAGTAGAGTATTAGTTGACTGGTTAGGGGTAGAATAAGTTCACTTGTACAGTCGTGGTCAGAATTATTGGCACCCTTGGTAAATATGATCAAAGGAGGCTGTGAAAATAAATCTGCATTGTTAATCATTTTGATCTTTTATTTAAAAAATTCACATAAATGTAACCGATTAAGGGAATTTGGCCTTTGTTTTCCCTCCTATTTCTATTCCTGTGAAACAGGAAGCCATGGCTGGATAATTTCATGCTCATAATCACTCTGGTATGCTCAAAATTGTAAATATGAATGGGAATATACTTCACAGATATTTTACTCATAAGAATTTCTAGGGGTACCAATAATTGTGTCCAACGTGTATTTGAGAAAAACATTTATGTCAATGATATTTCCCCCCATTTTAAATTCTTATTCTCCAATGAAAGGTTAGATTTATGCGAATTTTTTAAATAAAAGATCAAAATGATTAACAATGCAGATTTATTTTCACAGCCTTCTTTGATCATATTTACCAAGGGTGCCAATAATTCTGACCACGACTGTACTTGCAAAGTTACTTACAGTAAGTAGAATACCTGTTGGGAGACTATCACAAAAAAAAGAGTTAGTAGATATGAAGCAGACACTCTACTAATAATCTAATGAGACTTAGTTGGCATGTAGGTGCAATGTTACTTAGTGTCAACAGAATGTTCAAAAGGGACCATCAAAATAAAGTGTTAGCGCATTTTTTTCTACACTTTCTACCAAGGTTTGTTGGCACATGATGTATCAAGATTAAATTTATAATGTATTTTTAAAACTGCTAATATTTTATGCACTATATGAGGTCATAAAAATGCCATATAAAAGAATTTTAAAAACTGTTTTAGATGGAGTATTGCATGTTACTCAGTAACATCTGATTAACCAAATCATCTCCAATAAAGCATGAAACTTATCTGAATTGCACTATAAATCCATGATAGTTGATAGTACAGATTTTTAGTCCTCCTGGTACAACTTCTGTTAATTACTGTATATGTCCAAACATTTTTCAGAATTTAAGTTTGAGTTCATTCAGGTGGACAATCAAGATTATTTTAAATGGAATAGCAGCATTGTTGACATAGTGGTCCAGAACAACATCACCAGCCTCAAAGGAAGAGGCAGGAGCTTTTCAAGCATTGATTCAAACTTATTAAATTTTTTTCTCCTATGATGCAAGCGTAGCAAATATGTAGTCTAGAATCTAGATCAAATGCAATGAAATTCTCTTCCAGATGTAAATGAAAGGAAAGATCAGTAATTTAGGGTAATTCATGTATACAGCAAACACACGTGTGTATATACAGTGGTGGCCAAAATGATTAGTACACTAGTATTTTCACCAGCTAAAAAAGTTTCGCTTTCACAACGAAGCACACGGCGTCTTCAGGACATGGCGGCGGCGGCAACAATACTACAGTGAGAATAAAAGTTACGCCGCCTTTTTTCTTTGCGTGAACATTTGGGCGGTGTTATGCAAATCTTCCCACATAGTGAGGTAGAAATGTGTGGGCGTGTTAGAACGAGCCGTTTTAGGTAGGTGTGGCTGACTCTGAACTTTTATAATGAATATCTATTTGGATTTGAGACTTTATTCTTTGCAACTTTACAGATCTTCTTTATACACCAAGAGCTTGTAACACTCCAAAGAGAAAGGAAAAATTGAAATCGCATCATATGACCCCTTTAAATCTGAAGGTCCGAAACATCACAAGCTGGCTGTGATGCAACAAGTCAGAAGTATAATATACAGTATAACTAATAAATCTACAGCATGGAAACATACATTTTTTTTTAGATGGAGCAGAATAATAAATAGGCTGGAGAAGTTATGTAGTGCATCAAAAACAGAAATGCAGCCTCTATCAACTGAAGGTGCATCATGATGTGTTGCAACGTATTGTGCGCTTCCAGTGTAGACTGCAACAAAGCAGTCTAGTTTTGACGAGTCGCAGCATGATGCATGTATTCGGTGTAGACAGAGTCTGGATCGTCATGACCGCACCTGAATGTCAGTGTCTGTCTGCGGTCGTTTTATTCTTCTCCTGCAGTGAGTTTGCAGCTGTGCTCCTTCAGTAAAGCTTCAGCTTCTGCTCTCTTCACCAGACTGTTGGCTTTACCCTGGTAACGTCCAGCCTTTCCTGCTCCTTTACCCTGCAGCAGCTCTGACACCCTGCACGCGACGACACAAACACAGGAGAACATGTTTCAGAAGAGTGGCACCTACTGGAAGAAACACTGCACAACATAAATCTACATGCAACCTTGGGAAAACAATCAATCAGATTTAATATAGTATCATGCTCTTGACATGCAGTGGTGCATAAAGCAAATAACTATGAACAAAACTAAATTAGCAGCTAGTAAACTAGATGGAAGAATGATTCATGCTGAGTTACGTTGCTTCTGAGTTAAATCTGTGAAATAAGGTGTACTTCATGTACAACTGTTTATTGAGACTGTCATTTGAACACTGTGATACTGTGGTATCAACTATCTGAGATGTGAAAGTCACTTTACATGCAGGCAGACAGTCTTTGTCTGTTTAAGTGGGTGGTACTTGGCCAGATTAAGCTGCCACTTGAATAAAAAAAAAAAAAATGCAATTAACCCTATAAAGCCTACTGTCTCATATTTGATATGCAAATTTCTAAGACCTCTAAATGATCAAAAACGTGTTGTGCACAATCTACTACATGTCTTCTGTCATCTGACTGACAGTTTATAGTTTTTTAGTAAGTAAAAGGCCTTGTAGTTTTACTGTAAAACTGTCTCCCTTCAGGTTGTGGTCCGTATGTCTTTTTGCTGTGAAATCTTTACAACAAATACACAAGATTTACTTGAATATTTTTAGTAGTGCTGACAAACGATTAATCGCGATTAATCGCATCCAAAATAAAAGTTTTTGTTTACATAATAAATGTGTGTGTACTATTTATTATGTAAATATAAATACACACACATACAGTATATATTTTGAAAATATTTACATGCATATACATTTATATATTTATATTATATATAATATATATAATTAGGGGCGTAGCCATCATTTCAGAAGTGAGGGGGACAGAAATGTTATATATATATACTTTTTTATCACATAATAATAAGGCAGAATAGTTTCAATACTGTAATAAATGCTATGTCAGTTAGCACTGCATTGTTTATATACTTTATTTATTACCTGGAGATGACTTGACAAACACAAATAAACCATATATTGTCGCAATCGTATGTTAATGTCTTCATGTTTCCAAACGTTTCTGTTTTCTGTGAAAACAACTCTTTTCATACAGGGATAGCTGGACGCTTTTGTCCATATTAGGAATTCCCTCATAGGACTTTCTGCGCGAGAGCGCCCTCCGGCTACGAGTATGAATGAAACATACACTGCACGGAGTGTTTAGCGCTCTGTGATGTTCATCTCGGCTTATTCTAGGTCCGAATAAAACATCAGATCATGCACACACTATCCTGTCTCTTTGAATTAAAATCTATATTTATTTACACCGGCTCTTGAAAACCTCTATGCAAACACACTTGTATATTTATTCACACCGGCTCTTGAAAACCTCTATGCGAACACACTTGCCCGAAAAAGTGCGGGGGACGAATTTACGTGATATTAAAAGTGTGGGGACACATCCCCCACGTAATCTACGCCCCTGCATTCATGTGTTTGTATTTATATATACATAATAAATATACACAGTGCACACACATATATTATGTAAACAAAAACTTTTATTTTGGATGCGATTAATCGCGATTAATCGTTTGACAGCACTAATTTTTAGTAATGTTGGAAGATGAACACTTACTGGACTAAAGCAACTTAGAATTACTTGATTAAATGCATAATGTTTTTGAAAAATCATGCTAAAAATGTGAGTATCAAATAAGATACATCAGGCTTTTGAGGCGCGCTTATTTGTTCATCTCTCAGTTATCATTATATCACATTACATTATATATTTTGACCACACAACAAAAAAATGACAGCACGTTGATCATAAAACTAAGCATGGAAAAATCATCTTAATAAGACATATATTGGTAGAGATAGAGTGACAACTGCTAATTTACAGTTTAATTTTTATTTACAGTCTCACTGATTTACATTAAAAGCTATTTCATTTTACTTTTTGGCATTGGGCTGTAAATCTCTATTTTGCTTAGTTTGAGCCTCTGAATAAAACCGAGATGTTTTTTCTTCCTTGAGTATGAGCTCCATACTTTATGAGGTATAAAAGCCTAATGTATCAAAAATGATACTCAACAAAAAACACATAAAAATTCGATTTTTCCAGACGTTGGGTAAAGGTTTGACATACTATTCCATTTAGAAAATTTTGTATACTATTATTTCACATGTCAGGCTTTACAGGGGTAAAAATTGGCAGAATGAAAGGGAATAAATTAGGATTGGTCTTACCGAGGTCCCACTTCAGTGACAATATTCTCAGGCCCGGCGAGCAGGAACAGTCCTGCACCCTTCTCCTCACCCACGGTCAGAAAGATCACGGTGTCCTACACAAACACAACAATGAGAGTATAAACTACACACCAATCTCCAATCTAGCAATGCACATACATGCTACTCAATGAATAAAAGACGCGCTTCACCTGAAATCCAATTTCATTGGCGATGATGTTCATGAACTCATTATCACCGTCTCTACTGTGAAAAGAACAAGGCTTGGATTGAACTTTTGAATATCGGAAATGTAATCAGAAATACATCAGGACATGGAAGTAGAATAAGTTGACAGCCTTTCTTGTCGATTCGATTCACTCATACAGCTTTGACTAAAGGCTAAAAGTCAATCACACACTTGTGCAAGCTGAAGAAGTTTCCTCTGTCCGCTTTGTTTTTGAAGTTCTGCGCTATCAGAACAGCCATTTCCCTCAGGATAATTAGATTACTCTGTCAGAGGAACATAAAGGGTAATGATTAATAATGGCAAAAGTCCAAGATTAATCCTTGTCTACTGGCACAGTAGGTTACCTTCTGAAGACGTTTGACCGTCTTCTGTAGCTTGTCCACAGCATCAACGTGCTCATCTGCTCCTGTCCTAATAAACCACAGCGACAAACATTAGCTTATGCTAGAAGAAAGCAGACATGTCACTTGACTCCAACTCACTTGAGAAGGCCGGTCAGTGATTTTTCAATGCTGTAACTCTTTTCAGCATATTTCAGCACTCTGCTGCCAGCTATGAAAATCAGGTTGGTTTTATTCTTCTTCCCTTTTTCGGTCCCCAAAATCTTTATAACCTAAGGAGCACATTTTTTTTGAGTGATTAAACAGTAGAATAGCTCTGAATAATACACTCCACCTGTGGCCCACAGTTAAGTTGGCCTAAAATGTGCTTGACAGGGAGAGCAGGACTGACCTGAAGGTGACTGAGGTTGGACACATGAGTCCCGCAGCACATGTTGGCATCTACGCCCTCGATGTCAATGATCCTGATGGGCCCAGCGTGGTCGTCAGGAAGACCTCGGCTTCTCACCTGTTTATGAGAATCGAAAAAATGTGGTTTGTTAGTTCTGCGCAAAGTAAAAGGGAATTTGGGGACAGGATTACTTTAAAATCATTAAAGATATATGTCACTATAAGTCATCAAAAGATCTTATTAAATTCTATAAACTTAAGAAAAAAGTAACCAAATTGATGAGATTTTGTTGAGGAAAAAGGGGGAAGTTGCCAAACTTAAAAAAAAAAAAAAAAGGAAAAAAAGAAATAAAAGATGTTTTACTTTCTTATCTCAATATAAGATTATAGTACTTTTGGATTTTGCTTTTAATTTCAGTTTTGTTGTAGTTAGCTTAATTCAGTTTTATTTTGTGGACACATTTCTATTGATTTTTTATACATTTATTATATTTTAGCAACAAGGTTGCAGACTGTAAAGCCATTTATAATATCTATGTTAAAATAAATGTTTTTTCTATACATCAAAGAATCCTGAAATAAAAATCACAGTTTCCACAAAACATATTAAGCAGCCAGGACAACCATTTTCAACATTAATAATAATGATAAATGTTTCTGGAGCAGCAAATCAGCATATTAGAATGATTGAAAATTCAGCTTTACATCACAGGAATAAATAACATTTTAAAATATATTTAAACAGAAAAGAGTTATTTTAAACTAATAATATTTACAATATTACTGTGTTCATTATATATTTTTTTATCAAATATATGCACCCTTGGTGAACATAAGAGACTTTCTTTTAAAAACATTTAAAAAATCGTAGCAATCCAAAACGTTTGAACAACATTGCGTATTATAGTTTTTACGCTTTGAATATTATTTATTTTGTTTATTTATTGTTGTTTTTTTGCTTTGTTTAATTTTTCACCTAATTTATGTTGTGTCGCTAATCTTCTCATTATTATTGCGTACATTGAATTACTGATTAATGATAACTCATTTGTTCTGTAGTTTGGGTAATAAAACTTAAAAGTGTGTAAATGTTGTGAAAATTTGATTCCTAAAAAGACTGATAGTAGATTTCTGAAGGTGCACACATGCCTTCTCCACAGCAGGATCATCAATGGACAGGAGATTGACAGTGACTGGAATGTGTGCATGGATCTTTTCATTCACAGCCGCCTCCAAAGCCTCCATCTCTCCAGGCTTCACCGCGGCTGTGTCCAGCTCTATGCTGCTACGCTGACGTCCCAAATCCCTGGATCATTTCATAACCAGCCGGATGGTTTAACATTTAGAAATCAAATTTATTTCTGAGTCATTTAATAGATTCTGCCAAAGCTCTTACCAAGAGGTAGTTTTGTATCCAAACATTGTATCAGCCAAAGCTGTGATCAAGTGTTGACCTTTAAAAATGACAATAAGCATGTGATGAAATTAGTTTGAGCTTCATTTAACCCTATAAAGCCTGCTGTATCATATTTCACATGCATATTTCTGACTCTAAATTAGTGCTGTCAAACGATTAAAGGCAGGGTATGCGATTTTTCAAAAACACTTTAGAAAACCGATTCGGGCCGAATAGCAAAACAAACTTGTAGCCAATCAGCAATAAGGGGCGTGTCTACTCGTGACCTGATGTGGAGGAGAGAGCTTTCAGTGCATGGGACGGACATTAAAGGAAGAGTAAGTGATTTCTGGTAGCCAATGTTGATATTTGAAATCACCAAAACAAACACGCCCCTACCCCAAAAGGTCTTGTCCCTATTTTGATAGCTCCGCCCCACATATACGTACGCAACCCAGGCAACAATTAGTTCTGTGAAACAAAGCAAAACCAATGTTACACCGTGTCTACGGACGTGAGCAGTGCGGCGCAACAAATCCCGACAGAAAACTGCTGCCGGGTTCTATTTATGACGTGCTGACACAAATTTCAAATGGTTTTCAACGGTCGTTTGATCGCGTCCAGTGTAGGCAGACTTTAGCTGTTGTAGACACGGTGTTACTCACCTACTGAGAAGAAACAAAGCAACCTCGGCGTCCGATCGCAGACCTCCGCTCCTTGAGTTCTCTCCAGCGCTGGAAAGCTGATCCGATATTTACACGGGTCCTACTTCTTGCCTTATCGTTCCGCAGAAGTTTTCCTCTTTTGTTTTTTATCCGCCATCCCCATCTTTCTGTCGCTCGGCTCAGCTAATGTCCGTCCCATGCACTGAAAGCGCTCTCCTCCACATCACGAGTAGACACGCCCCTTATTGCTGATTGGCTACAAGTTTGTTTTGCGATTCGGCCCGAATCCGTTTTCTAAAGTGTTTTTGAAAAATCACTTACTCTGCCTTTAAAGTAATAGTTCACCTAAACCCTCATTCCTTCCTCACCCGAATGCTGCTGCATGTGGTCAAAGCGTCGCTCCCAGTCCAGCTTGATGTGCACCTCCTGACCCTCCTCCAGAGCAGAGCTGATGAAATGCACCGCCTCCGGACCCTGTCTCAACACCCGCAGGACAGGGACACCTCCAACCGTCCCATGATCATCAGGCTGGAAATGAAATAGAAAGACTTCAATCTCAAATCATGCTCATGCAATGAACAATATATTCAGGGATTGCTCAAATATTGTATCTAAGTTAGTTACCTGCATGGCATGACATTAGAGGGGAAACTCACCTGTCCTCCGCCCTCTGGAAACAGAATCGTGTCTTTCAGTTTCAGATTAAAGCCCTTCAGCTTGTCTTTCTTTCCATTATTCTCGAGGGTTAATTCTGCAGGCACACAAGACACGACACACGTGTCGAACTGTAAAAAGAAAAGTTGACAAACAACATGGGCATGGACTTTTTTTCTTCTTCTTAATTTATATGTATTTGTCTTAAACTCATGCAGTGACAAATGGATTTCAAAAATACCTTGTTGATGTTACTATCATGATTTATCATGTCATTATTTTACATGAATTATATGTAGAGAGAAGTATAATCTCTGCAGCTGTCACTGCTGCTGGACATGTGCTGTCATTGTAAACTGCAGAGATGTTCACTCATTCAGATAATGGTCTGGCGATACACATACAGTGAAATATCATAACATTACAAATAAGTCACATACCTCCTGCATGTAACAGTCCCTCTGACACTGGAAAGCCATGTTCCAACCACAGTCTATGGTTCCAACAAGTGTAAATTACAAGTGATCAGTATTTGCTACAGTAAACTCAACCGAGAGTTAAAACATGGCCGCTGTTTTCAAAATAAAAGTCTCAAAACGTAACATTAATTCAGTGTGTTACTTGCTGTTTCTTTTGTAATTATTTGTGGAATTTACTAATTACTGAGTGGAAATCGTTTCCTAGCTTTTTTTTTTCCAAGTAAATCCAACTTCAGTATTTGTTTTCAGTGTGTATTAGTGTTGTGAATTTTGTTTATTCGTTTTTGTGATCAGTTTTTTCCCCCCGTGTTTTTTATTTGTCTAAATATGAGTATGTGAGTACATAAATGTATGTAACTTAATGATTTATCAATGTTAGACTTGTTACCATGACGCTACCATACTTCAGTACTTTCCTTGTGATGTTAATTTAAATGTATAATTAATTACTTTACAGGACAATGTTTCCCCCCTCAGAAATCGTCCCTAAAATCAATTCCAGGGGTATATGGCCCCTTAATTAACCCCAACCCCCTACACTTAATTTGACAGATGTCAAGAAACTTGTATGCACAGTGTAGAAACATTTGTTGTCCTTTTTTCTAGTATTCCGTGAGGAGCCACTTACATTTTTGACCAGAAGGTGGCGCAATTGACTACAAATGACATTTAGCCTAATAACGTATCTCATGGAAATAAGTATATTAGGTGTTTTAAATGCGGCGTACTGACGTGAAAATACTCAGCACTAATAACACGTTAATACGCGTGTTGCATATGCATGCCGCCTGTATTTATTTGATGTATTTATTTTATTATAATATATTTCATAGGATATTATGTATATGCAATAAGAATAATGCAATAAGTTACGGCCTATAGCAGTCAGCATTCTCACACAAAACAATCAATAACGGCTTTCAACTGCAGACAACAGCTCATTAACTGTGAAATGCTATGGCACGACTTCGATTTTCCCATTCTCATCCTTTTTGCCCCCCACACCCACCCAAAACGTGAGGTTTCGCCCCGCCTTCAGGGTGGTCACTGATCACAAACCCCAGAAACCTTCTTTGGTGAACTCTTACGTGCTTCTGTTACCAATAATCCATCAACTTCATCCGCTGATTCCTGTGCAGCTCTCAACACACGCGTGGTGAGCTGTCTACAAGACTCTTCAAGACATCTGCAGGCTCTTTCAGAGCGAGTTCCTCCAAGATGAAGCTCAAGGCACATGTGAAGACGAGCGCTCGTGGTAAGGTTTTCGACTGCATTAAACAATCCGTTCACTGTATTCGCGCGAGCGCATTTCAGCCTAAATTCGAACATTCGAATGTCGTTGCGATCGCAGCGGATACAGTGGTTCATCTGTTGATCATCGCAACTTTCTGCTGGTCAGAATGCGTACAGTTGCTCTAGTCTAATGCATACATGCATGCAGGTGTAACGTTGTTGTACCATCTGTTGCCAATTCATCATGAAGTGTATGCATAAAAGTGGGAATTTTTTATTTATGTTTTGTTATCGAGTGGTGGCAGTATGATATTTGGGACTTAAATGTTGGAATCTTTCTTAAGATGCCAATGTTAGCCTACTAACGTTAGCATCATCAGGGGTAGGACTTCTTCTTTGAGGTACTTCGGTGTAGAACACTAAATAGACGTTGATCCTCCCTTTATTTTAAACTAATTTGTTTGATGAAATCTCAGAAAAGGTCAAATCTATAGAAAAACCTGGCAATATCAGGGATTAGTCATTTTCCTGGATTGGAAAAGTCATCATCTTGGAGGAACCCTGTAATAATAGATCTTTGTAATGTAAATGTAATTGTGTTTGCATTGGTTTCATTTGTTTTTGTATTTTAGTTAAAAAAGAAGAAGAAGAAATCATCCAAAAGTATGATGTAATGACTCAAGAGACAAAAAAGGTCAAATAAAATGAATAGTTTTAAATGTTACAAGCAAGTTAATCTATGCTATGTTGTCTAATAGAACAAATGATGTTGAATTATTAGTGTTATTAAAAATGAGCTTTAATTAAGTGCAAAATTACAGCAAAAATAACTGGAAAGATATGGTTCAATACATTTCTTACATGTTAAGTTATGTAACGTAATTTGTTAATGTATTATGAACAAACATGAATTGCCGGAACAATAGTATATTCATAAAATAACATTAACCTAGATTAATGCATTCTCTAAAAATTTATTTGTAAAATGATTTTGTTCATTTGTTTAAAACATTCATGTTGATAATTAATCCCTATTGTAGCGTGTTGTAATGATGAAAATGTAAAAATAGAAGTGTACAATGAAATTAAATTGGCCGAGAAAAAAAAAAGAAGGTTTGTATTCAATGCATTATAATTTATATTTGAATAACATTATATTTGAATGAAAAAAACTGTAAAAAATAGGACACAACATGAAGGAATATTCTTCATTGCTTGGTGGTTTCTCAGAAATTTCCTGGCAGAAAATTACCAGTATTTATGTCTTTATTTACAGTACATAATGTTGTGTATTTAGCTGCACGGCTGGAATATAAGCCGTATGGTTCAGGACGAAAAGGGTGTTTCTGGTTTTGTAGGTTGAAATAATGCTGCGTTTGTCTAGATGGTTTCAGTGCAGGCGTTCTCAGATGACTAATGACTAAATGTAATTAGGATTAAGCAGGAGACATTTATTAGCTGGTGGGAAGACTGGAGCCTGTGGTGATCTCTGGGTAATTGGATGTCTCTCAGGTGTGTGTGTGTGTGTGTGCTCTGGAAGTCACTGGAAACACAAGGCCGGCAGCTGAGCTCCAGTCCCAGGGGGCTCAACTAGAGACTCACAGAAATATGAAAATCTACTATTTGCATGTCAAATGTCTTCTCTGCAGAAAGTTATTCAACTTTGCATAAAGCTGTTTCCTGTTGTATACAAAATCAGTTCGTGTAAAGAGGACAGAGTGGCATTTAAGACAAAATGATCTCAAGTTTGCAGTAAGTCTAAATGGTTACTTCTAATCATCCTTATCAGAAATGGTTTAGCAGTATTGATGAAGATGCATTTTGAGTCTCCTGACCTCAGGCTCGCATGATTGTTTTTTTCCTGTGTGGTCTCTCTCTGTGGTTGTTGACACTCATAAAACCCAAGAGCTCCAGGCTGTTTGTGGAAAATATGAGACATGCGCACTGTGTGGAGACACATGCTCCTAATATAGACATTTACTGTGGAAAGTATAGTGCTGTCGAATGGCTGTGGATAGTTTGCCGCTGACACACTCATAAAGCATGAGATGTATGTGTGGTGCAAAATCACACTTATGCACGGTAAGAAAAGATTTTTTCAAAGTAAATGAAATGGATTATTGGAGTACGTTTTACAAGAGAATACTGTTTCAGTCATTCTACTTAAGAATGCCATTAATTCAGTGTTTCATTGTAATTGTTTGGGAAATTTACTAGCAATTTCTGAGTGAAAATGGTTTCTTAGCTTTTTTCAAGTAAATCCTACTTTCTGTGTGTGTGTATTATTGTTGTGACTTTGTAATTTAGTTTTTTTCAGTTTGCTACACTATCGTGTCAATATTTTTAGTGTTGGCTATTGTGGTAATTGTTATTTTTTCATGATTAGAACATTCTGTTAAAGTTTCTAAAAGTCTTTGTTAAAAATCCAAATGTATTCTCTTATTTTCTAGATTTTCTCCAAGAAGTGTAATAGTGACTTAAAGGGGTCATATGATGCTTTTTTAAAGATCATTATTTTGTGTATTTGGTGTAAACAGAATATGCTGACATGCTTTAATGTTCAAAAAAATGTTGTGTAGGGGGCGGGGCTATCCTTTTGACTGACCAATAGCAGACTGGATAAAAAGCAAATTTAAGGAGGAGTTTGCACGACACTGTTTTCAACTAAAAACTAGGGATGTAACAATACTGTCAATATCGTGATATCACGATAGCAAAACTGTCTTCATATTATTGTGGTCACACGGTGATATGAAACGATAGGTCTTCCGGGCAAAAAGTGTAGTTTTCAAATATATTTAAACTTCTTATTCTGACATAAAAAGTGTTTAAAGTTGTGTTTTGGGCCACTATGCTTTGGCACAGTGTCAAACAAAATAAAACCGAAAGCACAATATGGCTTAAATCCCTTCATCAAGTCTGTTTTCACTGAGCGTTTCAAAGCAAAGTGCACATTTCGTTCAGGCAGTCAGCTCGTGATCTGGTGTTTTCCGCAGCTTCAGAACGGCTCCGTTCACAGTGAATGAATTAGGGCTGAACGATTTTGGAAAATAATCTAATTGCGATTTTTTTTACCAATATTGCGATTGCGATTTAATATGCAATTATTTTTTTTAAAGCTCTTTGTGTTCTGTATTATTCAACAAAGACAAGCTATAAATCATTGTATAGTATGACCAACACACTATTAGATAGATTAAACATAAATGTCCTTTTCTGTAGGCCAGGCTTATATGTTACCATGAAATTAGGTGATGCATGAATTGATATGAATGACATTTTTATTTAACAACTACAATCACAGTAGTATATTGACTGATTTGTTGAACTTCCAACCTTGTAAGCATGTAATAATTATGACAACATAAAGCACTGACAAATAAGCCTGGTGTAAACAT